TCGTGCTTGCACAGCTTGCGCGAAACGACACGTGAATTTTCCCGGAAAATACTGTCACGCGCTGAAATACGCGTGGGACGTCTTCTTTCTCTTTCCACGTTTATTTGCCCATTTTAACATCCCGCACGGTCTTCCAACGAGCCGGTGCTTATCGAGCACCACTGCGTACATGACGCCTCTTTCGCCGCGTCGCGTCACGCACGTTTGTTTTTTTCTTTCTCTTTTTTTTTTTACAAGCTCCGAGTGCGTCGCCGTTAAATGCGCGCGTAACGCGATATCTCATGCGTTCTCGAACGCGACTGCCGTACCGCGACGCACGCTGCACATGTATACACGCACACGCACGCGCACGCATCGCGATCGCACGTGCACGCGTTAAAACGCGCGCGCGAACGCCTCATGCAAATCGCAACGCGACCCGTATGCGATACGCGGCGCCGTATTATGGAGTTCGCTTGTTAACGAGCGACTCCTTTTCGACCGCTGGGATTCTCTGAGGAACTGTCGTTTCTGAAAGAATGAAAGTCCTTCTCATTCACTATCCACGAAGACACTCACCGTGTAATTATGTTTTTTTTTTATAGCGGTCCTTTTTTTATAATGGTAGAAGAGAATTTTCTTTCTCATAGAATTTATAACCACAAAGACATATTCGCAATATAATTATATCTTTTTTACGGCAATGGCTCTACAAAAGCATGTCCCGCGTCCTTTCACATTCCGTGAAAAAGAAATTGTACTTCTACTTGAGCGAATAATACGATACGAAGCGCGCGTACGCGCTTGTGACAAAATGCGCTCGTTTCGAGGGGGTCGCAGGACGTTCCTCCTGCACTTCATCGAAAACCGTGCAGGACGGACTCGTACGGCGAGATCCGAGTAATATCGGCGATCGCGACGGCCTGCGAATCCCGAACATCTCGTCCGTAAATCTTTACGGCTTGTCTTCATGGTACGTCGGTTTTATGATCGCACTTTTATGACACAGCTCCGTAACCGATCGCGTACCCAGTTTTACACTTCCGTCGCGGTTACGAGCCGTTCCGAGATACACTGGACTAAGAAGGGCTCGTAGGTATTATTAATAATTGACAGCAACGTTCTCTCAACGGAAGGTGAGATATCTTACAGATTTAAAACGTATTGGCCGACGATTACGTCAATTACGACTTGTAACTTACGACTTTAATTGTACGCAGTAAAAAAAAAACATTTGTGTCACACAATTTGCTTCCAAATTATGTCAAAGTGTGATTCTTTTTTGTCTTAATTTTTAAATATAATATATTTGTTTTACTTTTTAATGTGTTTATCTTGTACTAAGTTAATATAAAAGTTTGGTTGGTACTGTTTAGGACACATGAAATGTATAACATTAATTACATACATTTTCCAACTGTATATTACGTTCTTCAATTTATATAATCTTCCGTGAATTGCGACATGACGTGGTAATTCAATTTCTATACTGTAACATAAATAATTATGTCACATGTAAGACTATGGAAAGAGACAGTAAATCTTCTTTGATTTAAATAAAAAAAACTTTTGATTTAGTTATTTTCGACTTCTGATAGTACGATACAAATACATTTTCATTCTACTTAACGCTTGAACGCGAGAAAGATAATTATATATATATATATTTACGTACTTCGAAAAGCATGGCCATAAATCGCCATAGATTGATGAGATGCGAAAAAACAATGATCACGACTGATTGCATGAGATCGTTAATCGATAGTGTTCCACACGGTGGAACGCGAGAAACGCGTTCGTTGCAAGAAGTGAACGGCCGGACTTTATGATCGTCGATAAATTCTCCGTCATCGATAAAGACAGACGAAGTCTGTTTGATCTCGTATACCTTCATGCAAAGGGCTAAAATTCACTTGGTTTTTTTGCATAAAAATTTACACAGCATCGACGCGCTATAATGGAATGTTACCAAAATTATCAGATGTTATTTTTAGGCATTCTTCAATTGTGATTCTTAATTAATTCTTTCGATATGAGAACGCTGAGAGTTTTTGCATAATTGATAATTGAAAATAAAAATTTGTTGGTGAACTAAATTTTAGAAGAAAGAATAGACAAAATTAATCACGTAATCTTTAATAAACTCTTTGATTTTTTAATAATTGATAACGTCCATTTTTCGATGTGTTAATTGATATCAGAATAAATGCTTGTTGTAGCAATCTTTAAAGAGAAAAATATTGCATTTTTTAACGAATCCTAACTTGATGCCGTGTTTACAGTATATTGCATCTTTGTTTAAGAAGAAAAATAATCTTTCAGCCATCCAATTCACGGTGTAGCAGATTCTAAAAAGCGTTTTCACGCAACGCAATTGTCGTACAACGAAATCCTCTCGGGTTCGCAGTGAGCTTTTAACCGTTCGCTCACCCACCGCGATTACCGGCAATTAATTGAAAACGCGCGGCGACGGCACAACTGTTTACAAAGACACAACGGGGTTCCATCGAGGGTGGAGAAAATGGGGAGAACACAGAGGTAGATTACAACAGAGAGAAGAGAGAATGAAGGGGGGAGGGTGGGGGAGAGAGAGAGAGAGAGAGAGAGAGAGAAGGGAGGAGGGGGATCACGCAGGAGGGAGCGAGAGAGACGGAGAGACGAGATAGGGAGGGCAGTGAATTAAGTTTCTCCGCCCCTGAGGCCGACACATTCGCCGACACTCGTCACGACCACCCCCTGAGGGTACCGCGAATCTTTCAATGGAAATTCTGTCGCGAAGGGAACGCCGCGCCGCCTCGAGGCGCCCGGAGGATTATAAATCCACAGTTTAGGATCTTCTCGACGGTCCGGGAATGTCCCGTGCGGAAAGCGGAGATTCTGAGGAGTCAGCTCGAATCGAACTATCCCCGTTCGCGGAATTTTTGGTGGCTCCTCGCATCTCTCTTATTCGCCATTCCTCACGCATTTTTCATTCGCGCGTGACTGCACACGATTCGCATCCTTGTCGCGAATGCCAATCGTAACTTTTCGCGATAACTTCCGTTTCTTTGACGTAGTTTCCGATAAGACGAAAATTGAAAAAAGTTTTCCCGCGGTGCAATAGGAAGTCGAACGGCAAGATCGTGTTACAACCTTTGTTTCTCGCTTTTGTAAAACAGTCGCGGTTATTAGTTATCGAATTTAATCTTATACTCTTTTACACACGCGACTCTTTTGCGGTGCCAGCAATTTTATAATCTCCAGGCTAGACCAGGTGAGCGTTATGATTTACATTAACATTGCGGTACTTTGTATATTTATTCGGTTACTCCGAGAGAATTTATCCCCGGGCGTGACGCGAATACTATCAATAATAATGGTTCTCTAAATTTTGGACGCGGGCGGGTCATATGTACAAATCCGAGGGAATCACGCGGCGCGACACGCGAATGTCAGGTGCAAAATGATACTCCTGGCCGCGTGTCCATAAAAAGTACATTTATATTTCAATATCTGGCGTACGCGCGGACATTTTTCTCTCTTTCTCTCCATCTCTTTCTCTCTCTTTTACCGGCAGTAAAACAGCGAACGATGCGCAGGGGTGTCAAGAGCATTTGTGTTATTTAACCACTTATTGCCCGCGCGCTGACGTTTTACGAGGTAGGGGACGACGGATCCTGCGCCTCCATCGGCTTCACCGCTGGGACAATGGAGGCGCACCTGCCAGACCCGTCGGTGCGTCGTACGGCACAGCCAGTCGTACCTGCGTTATTGCAACCCTTGTTCTTTGTCCCGCCGTTAGCGATGATACTCTCGCGCGCGCGCGGGCGGCCGCGCGAAGCACTCGAAGCGCGCGTATCAATCTCCTGCCAGAACCGCCATTGTCTGACGACGATGGTGGGCCCTGGTACAGTACGATAAGTGGGGAGAGATCATTTCTACAAGTTTCTTTCTTTCCGTTATATATTATCTGCCACGAAGCTGTTATATTTCTCGCTTTGCAACGTGTAGGTAACGCTTTCCGATATATTTTAGCCGGGATACACTCACACATTGTATATAAATCGCGGGTAAAGAAGGAATAAAAAACAGAAGAGACAGAATTTTTCTTATCTCTGTTTTTATACGAGATAGGATAAAGTAGATAAGGTCTACATTAAATTTCATCGTAAAACTTGATGCTAATAAAATTATGGGAGAGACTCATGTATTATATTTTTAATTTAATTATGTTCACGTTCGAGTACGATATCGAGTGGTGTGCTCGTTTGAACAGATCGCCGTTTGGCTCGCGATCGAGAACAATGTTGATAGTCCGCGGCATCGATCCGATTTTAAACAAGCGTCTCTCGATTTCGAAGCCAATTGATATTGGGTGGAAGATGGACTCGCGGTGCGTCGCTATACGCCCGATCGCTTATCGTCGCAATCGACTTCGACATTGCTACTGATTGCGCGAACTGCCGTAGTTTATTGCGACTGCAGTCGCATTCGATGCACTATCATCGCGTTGTTTCTCTTTCCCTTTCTCTCTCTACTTCTCCCTTGTTTCGTTGATGCCGTATCCAATGGACAAAACAATCTCAAAATAGAATCGTGATTGCGCTTGGTGAGACACACTGTGACTTGATCAGAGCTAGAAAACTAGTAGTTTCTCGTAATTGCGAGCGCGTTTTTTGTATTCCTGCTTGTTCCCACCTACGCCAAAATGCAAAATGCAATTGTGGAAATATTCATGACTCTCCACGAAAAACGAATGCGTGAATCTGCGCGCGGAAGGACTTTAATTGGAAAATAAACTTTTGAAGAGAGAGAGAGAGAGAGAGAGAGAGAGAGAGAGAGAGAGAAATATTCATACGACGGTCTGCGAAAAATGGAGAATATGTGTACGGAAAGATATATATTAATTGGAAAATAAACTTAAAGTTTCGTGATCGAGATATAAATTGCATTCGTCTTTTTTTCTCTTTGCAACAAATAGAACGTTTCCATCCAATTGTTAAAGTTTTCGTAATCCAGCATTCGTTCGCGTGTGTTTGCAGACAATCCTTCTCGGCGATAGCGGGGTCGGCAAGACTTCGTTATTGGTCCAGTTCGATACCGGAAGATTCCAGCCGGGAAACTTCGCGGCCACCGTGGGTATCGGTTTTACGGTAAGTAATACTGCGAAATATTTAATTAAAGCTTTCCAGCTCGACAAAACCGTGGAATGCAATGAAGACCTTCAGCATTATTTTGCGAAGTTAAATTCAGCACGAGAGGCTTTTATCTGCATTTAATTTCGATCTCCCACCTTTTTTTATTCACTTTTGCGGTCCTATTAGTGACCATCTTTGTCAGCTTAATTGTAACAATTTTCAAGATTAATATTTAATGTTTAACATTCATATCGTATATTAGAGTTGCATAATAATCTTTACATATTGATATACTTTTTTTATATAAAAATCGACGTACGAGCTGGAAAGTGTTAGCGCGAACTTCTGTAGTTACGTGTTCTTTGTCTTGTAGACTATTAGTTACGATACCAATACATGTCGAGCAGAATTACAATGTAGCGCCATACGATGACGTATCAATGTCTGACAATGTGAGCAACGCGCTTATGCACGAGCATACGACCATGAAATGCATTCGCGTGCGTTCTATATGAAAGCTTTGTCTCGGCGCGTTATATATTAACTTCGGAAATCGCCGATCACACATATAACGATACAGATGGCCAAAAGTTTGAAGACGAAGGAAAATCCTAGCATGACAATTGATCTGTTAAATTTAATCAATAATTATATTTATCGGTATGTGAAACCGAAGTTCTCTCTTCTCTCATAAATCGCGAGAAACTATTATCTGCAATAAATCCTTATTTTAAGTGATTGCATCTTTTATGATGTCATCTATGTTGTCATCTAGATTGCGTTACGGTTGTTACGGAATTCCAACCAATGAGATATCATTCGGCATATCTAAATTCTTAAGACTGAGTTATACGACTGAGTTCGCATACGTTTGACTTCGTGTTTCTTAACTTAAAGTAAACTTCGGGTGAGCCGATAAGAAGCAAAAATAAACAAGCACCACTTGCGAGTTCCTGTCTGCACCGCCGCTGCAGGTAGCGTTGCCATTTTCATGCCCCAAATACAACGACGATACATCATTCACCGTACTCGCCCCATGAACGGTTTAGTAATCCTCGCGTAGGGAGGGGAGGAGAGGCATCATGCTGATGTCGTTCCATGCATACTGCAGACACCGTGATTCTGCACGCGCGCGTCTCTGCCGTCTGAAACGTTGGCGTCGTTCGCCGTCGCGGCGTCAAATGAATATTTATGACATCTCCTTCAGTCTTCTTGTTAGGGAGAAATTCGATTTATGGCTACGTCACCGATTTGAAGGAGAGAGAAAGAACGAGAAACACTGGCGGGTCTGCGTCCGTGAGCGAGCCATTTGCATTTGATATTTTCGCAGCCGGGCCGACGATTATCGGGGGCACCAGCCGAAAAAGAATCGTTCGAGCGAGCAAGGGGCCCCTCCCTTTTGTTCACCACTCGATTCCCCGATCGCCCCCACGGCACGAGCTTTCACGAGTCGCCGAAAAGATGAAGAGAGATATGAAGAGACAAAAGAGAGAGAGTGAGAGAGAGAGGGAGAGGGATAGGGATAGGTCGGTGGGATTTACAGAGGCGTTTGTATTGAGGTTTTCAGGTGGATGGTTACCCGCCTTTGATGGAAACACCGGCAGAGAAAGTCTTTGTGATAAACTATGCAATTACGGGGGAGGAAGCGTCGGTAGCGGCCGACTTGTGAATCGTCCGGGGAGTAGCTTCAGCGCGACCTTGGCATTTATCAAGCGCATAGCACGTAGTCTGTCAGTCCATACGGTCGGTCATAATTCTTCATCGTCGACTCGATTATCCGAGAAATTTAACGCTCCGTCACACGAATCTTGTTGGCAGAGAGACATTTCGCGCGTGCATATAGGAATACTATACCTATCTCGATAAAAAAAGTTCAAAAACAAAGGTATAATTTTTGGACACACCGGAAAAACAGAGCCACAAAACCATTTGCATACGTTTACGCGATCGGTCCTCCACTGCACGCACAGGAGACTTTATTTGTGCGATGGAATATCGTAAAGCATAGAACGTGGGATGATTACGATCCGCTGATGATTATAGAGCAGTATCGAGTCGTCGCACTTTCCAGTTACGAGAACATGTCTCGCATTTCCTCTCTCGCGCTCGCGCGCCAATCCGTCGTTTCGCTAACAGTTCGTCGAGAAAGTTGAAATTGCTCTATCAAAACGACCGTCCCACTGCGGATTTCTCCGGCAGCGCGCGAGAGTCTATCTTGGACGCTCTCCCGCGCATGAAAGTTTCATTTCATTACGAGCCGAGGAACGTCGCGTCGTTCGAACAGATACGTATGCGCGACCCGGAGAAATCGCTCGCGCGATTTTCCCTCTCTGGGAGGAGACGGTGATTAACATTTGAGATTAAAAATGATTACCGCGCGTGCGCGCGCGACTGGAATTGATCGCGCAAATCGCACTTTTACGTTAGTCAATTTTGAATACGCGCGTATCCGTACAGTGTAGCGTACAACTCCCGAATGAACTATTGAACGCGATATTGTTTACAATAATCTCTATATATGTTTATCGAGATTTCGCGCAAACAAGGTCCCTTTCTCCCTTCCCTCTTCCTCATCGTAGCCGTTATGCAAATTTTATACATAACTGGCTTTGCCGAGCTGTATTTTAAGCCTATTAAAATTTACAAATGAGCACTCGCACAGGATTATGTTAGCTTATGTCGGTTATACGAGTGGTTATTTCTACATCTTACATGTTGCTTAGTGCTTACTACAGCTTTAGCTGTGTATAATAATAATCTCGTTATGACATAAGCGAAAAGGGGGGGGAGAGAGAGAGAGAGGTAAGCATACGTCATTGCCTCCCCTTTTCACCCCTACACCGGTGAATTCTTTCTCTCTGTACATCGTC